TCATCACTGTTGTAAGGATGGCCACTCCGTAACGTTTCCCGAGACGTGGCCTCGCCTGGGCCCTTGAGAGGTCCAACGCGGGCTTGCGCCAGGGGCGCCAGACCCGCCGAGACCCCCCGCTGCCTCCTCGCGCGGACGCCGAAAAGGGACATCAGGAACTTCCAATATTCACGCGCGCGAGCGACCACCGTAGACCAGAAGGCGAGCGTCGGACAGCGAAAGCTTTCTGCAACAGGGCCGCGTCGGGCAAGGGAAACGGGGGACTCTCGCCCCTGCGCGATGGCACCTCCGCGCAAAGATCGGCGGCGATGGCGCGGGCGCGAGACGTCGCCGTCAACTCCGCGGCTCGCGACCAGAGATGACGCCGCGCGCTCAGCTGCGGGTCGACGCGTTCAGCTACATGGCGCGGCAGGGCGCCCAGGGCATCTGGCGGGGAGCCAGGGGATTCGGGCGCCAGCGCGGGCGTGGCCGCAGCAACGTAAGAGATCAAACGGTTGTCAGGGCCGCGCGCCTCAAGGGAATTCAAGGGCACGCGCAGCTGGCGCGCCGGGGTGGACAGGGGCTCCAGGCGCAGGGAGACGCCCAGGAGCGCGTGGGTTTTGAACGGGGAAGCGGCGCCGGCCGAGACCATGACGAACGGGGGCGCGCATGCGCTACGCGTGACATGACCAATCAAAGTCTCAGCGACACCACAAACAAAATGCACATTATGGGCCGCTGCCTTTCGCCCGCGAGCGAACTCCAAATGCCCGGATTCTTCCTCGAGATCGGGCGCCACATTGAATGCCCCGCGAGGGCCCAGGGCACAGCGAGGGCCCCGAGGAATTTGGCCGCAGCTCTGGGGCGACATGCTTTCGCCCCGGAGACCGAAATAGACGCAACCAAGTAAATCACCCCCGCGGCGATGGCACAAGACAATTCATTCCCAAGCTGAACCAATAGGTCCCCGAACCTACAAGGGCAATTTTGCTGGTCTGAATCAAAAACTTCCGAACGCAGAGCCCAGGCTGAACAGCAGCACAGACTCCACCAAGAGCGTTTCCTCCAGGAGAAGCCACAGCGCACTGGAAGAAAGGAGGCCAACGGAATTGCTCGCATAGCTTCTCCGCGCGAAGAGGCCGGCGTCGTCGCGAAGGCTGCGTTCAGCCACGAAGACACATCGCCCTCAGCAACCATTAGTAGCTCGACAATCCCGGGCAAACTTGAACCACCAAGTGACGCTCACGAACTTTAAGGAGACACGTGCACGTGCATCCACCGCCCCCTGTTGGACCAGGCCCTGGCCACAGCTGCTGCTGCCCACTGCCTGCAGCGGGGCCAGGCACGAGGCGCTGAGAGGCAGCGTTGCAAAAGGCTCTGAACATCTCATGGGACTGGGCCTCAGCGCGGCGACCACGCTGAGCAATCCGACTCTCGACGGGGCTCGCGAGCAGCGTCTGGCACATCTGGGCCTGAGCTGCGTCGAGCCCAGCTTTTGCAGCACCCTTCTTGAGGTTGGCGAATTCCTCGCGCTCCAGCGGGTCACCCGCCTCGCTGCCGACGTCGCTGGCAGCGCCCATGTCAATATCGCCCGTCTTGGCTTGCTCACGCCGCTGGATGTGAGCGCGGAACTTGTTCCACTGGTCCCGAGAAATCGCAACACCTGATGCCGACGACTCCATCAGACGATCCTCGAACTTGTTCAAAGACGCCTCCAAGTAGTTGTAGTCAATGGCGTGGTTGGCGATGCAGCGCTGAATGTTGGGCGAAAACTGACGAGGCTGCACACCAGCGGAGCTCCAAAAACATCAGGGCGCCCATCACCAGCATGACCAGCAACTGCACCACCAGCAGGAGGGGGGGGGGGGACCACCTGGGCATCCGCCTGCCCATGGGGGGCTGACGCCGCAGGCGGGGCTGGGGCCGCAGCCCGGGCCTGGGCGCGAGCCGCTCGGGAGGCCTCCTCCGCCGCAGCACGGCGTGCCGCCGCCTCCTGCTGCTTCTGGAGCTTGAATGTATTCAGGTCGAACGTGTTCTTGGCATGGTCTGCAGCCGCCTTGGACTCCGTGGCGCGCTGCAAGTCGGCAGTCGCATCGTTGTATGCTGCCTCCTCCTCGGCCAGCGAGTTCCGAGTCTAACTGAGGCGTTCCAACTTCCACTGTACATCTTGGTAGGACACCTTATGCGCTTTGGCTGCGTTCTCGCATAGCTCATCCAACTCTGTCTGCTGCGCCGACGCCAAGCGATCCAGCTCCATGGTAGTCAGGTCCACGGCTGCTGCATGATGGTGCAGGCGCTACCGCCGCCTTTTGGGGAACTTCCGCCAACACAGGCCAGCGTGTGGACCACAAATGGAGCTTGGAAGCCAATTGTGGTGGCATGTCATTGCCGTGGTCCTTCGCCTGAGCCACCGGTGCTCCAGGCTTGCGAGGTGAGTGAGCGGCATCGAGGTAGGGAGACTGACACACGCTGCAATGCTTATTCCCCCGTTTCGTGGACTCCCAAAATGTCCACATGCTTAGCATGCGTCATATAAGGCACCCTTTGACTTAGCAGCTTTGGTCCTGCCAGGACCTGGATACCATTGCCAAGCGCCACCAGCACCACGCCAAGGCGCATTGCGCCGCCAACCCATCGGGGCGCGGCTGCCGTGGTGGCGCTCGAGAGTCAGCACGTCGCGCTCCCGGTGCCAGCGCTCCCGCGCAGCAGAGCGCCGCCGCCGCAGTCGGCAGTGCCAGCCAAAGGAGCGCGCACGGGCTGTGGCGCTGGGGGCAATCGCGGGCGGGCCTCCGCGGCCAAGGGCAATGGCTGCGGCGCCCGCAGCGAAGCCACCTGGAGGAGGAGGAGGAGGAGGAGGAGGAGGAGGAGGAGGAGAAGGAGGAGGAGGAGGAGGAAGAGGAGGAAGAGGAGGAAGAGGAGGAAAAGGAAGAGGAGGAGGAGGAGGGAGAGGCAGAAGGGAAATGCACTCATTCATTCACATGATACGCCTAGTGAACCCGCAATGATGATCTCGAGCGGCGCCTCCGCCATGAGAGCCAAGAACCATCAGACCGTCTCGCGACTGGTCTACGGCACGATCGAATTGATCTGGAGGTGAAGCTTGTCGCCAAGATGCACCCGTGCAGCACCCAATAAAGAGGTGGAGCGGCACATAGAAGCGCGCACGAAATCGCCACCGCCACGGCGGGCTGGATCGATCACGCCGGCGCGACGAGGAGGGCAACAAGCAGGGGCCAGTGTGTGTGGGGGGGGTGGCGAGGAGGGCGAGGGAGAACGGAAAGGACGAGGAGAGGGGGGAAGACCTCTTCTTCCTCCTCCTCCTCCTCCTCCTCCTCTTCCTCCTCCTCCTCCTCATCCTTCTCCTCCTCCTCCCCCTCCTTCATTGACCCCTCCCTCTCCCTCTCCTCCTCCCCCCCTCCTCTTGGTGCCGACGGCGCGGCCTGGGCGGTGACGCCGCAGTGCCCCCGCCCGCGTCCAAGATCCGCGTCACCGAAGTGCGGACGGAGCCGTCGGAGTGCTGCACCCGCTGCCGCGCCTGTGTCGGGCGGGGGGGGGGGGCGCAGCGCGGCCCACCAGCCGGGAGGGCGGGGCTCCAGGATCAAGGGTAGCTCCTGCTCCTGAACTGATCCACTCACTCATCCGTGCTGTCTTGTTTACTCGGCCAAGCTGACGAGCGGTTCCCCCCATCTGACCTACGTGGCGGCGGAGAAGGAGGGGGTGAGGCAGAGGAAACAATGCAATACGAGGCATGCAAGTGTGGAGGGATGGGACAAAGAGACTAAAACTCATGAATCCGCGTTTCTGGACGTCTCCAGAGCCTCTTGAACATCCGGGGGCCTCCCGGGGTTGGGGAGCCCTCGAAAGGCCCTCCGTGGGCCCGGGTGACAGAAACGGCGAGAAACCTCATGACACGTGCCCTCAGGACCCCTTTCCCCCATGGCGAGGAGGCCCTCCAGGGGCTCTCCGTGGGAACACTGCATGGGGACCTCCGCTGAGGCTCCCGGGGAAGGGGAAGGAATGCGACTTTTTGATGCCCTCCGGCGGGTCCCTGGGGAAAGGCCCCTGTACTGCTGCGCACAGCCAGAGAGCGCCCGGGAAGAGGCTCGGGGGGTCGACTTTGAGGAGCGCATGCGGTCAAAACTTCTAGTGAGGATGCGCGATAAGGCTGCAGGCCCCTGGGACGCCTATGTTCGAGCGGGGCTGGCCATCGAAAGTGGTTCAGGATGGACCGAAGAGGCAAGGATGCAACATCCTTATCATCGATTTCGCCTGTAGGGCCCTGAACGACCCACCGCTTGCAGAACCCTTTCCAGCAGTCTCGACGCCGGCGGCGCTCGCGGGGACGAGCGCGGAGAGCACGAGTGAACGAACCACCTCTGCGGACAATCGTTCAGGCCTGGCCGAGGCCGGGGGGGGGGGCAGGCCATGGCCACTTGGAAGGTACAGACATGCATCGGGGGGGGGGCCTGCCCGTCAACGTCGGGGGGGGCCCAAACTCCGGCCGCAGCCGGCGCGTGCCACCAAAGACGTCGCGACTGGTGCCAGCGTCCCGAAGCCCGCGGAGCTCGGCCGATGTCTTCGCATGCGCCCGCTCTGTGCGCTGGCAGCGCCAGCACAGGACGATACGGCCCATCAGCGTGGACCTTCGAAGCGGAGCGCCGCAGCGTTGGTGCTCGCGAGCTCTTGGGCCATTGGGAAGGCCCTACGGGCAGGTGCAGCACGCAGGAGAGAAGGCCTAAGATGCTCTGGGGGCCGCCCCAGGGTCCAACGACGTCGTCTCAGCACGCCGAGCACGCCTACTTAGGAGGCAGAGGCCTCCTTGGAGCCACCAACCCACCGTTGCCAGGAGTCTCAGGAGGCAGAAGCCTTCTTGGAGACACCAACACCACCGTTGCCAGGAGTACCAAATCGGTGGCCCATGCCTCGTGAAACACCAGCGGGGAGGCTGCTCGCTGCTCCTCCACCATAGAAGGGGCACACCGACTTCGGGCACCCCCCGGCGTGCCGCTTTCTCTCAATACGTGGGGCTCCACATCTCTCGGCGCGACCATTCGTGTGGGCTGAACGTTTTGGGCAAGCTTTGCTGGGCCCTGGGGCCTAGATGTCCCTCCGGGGGCCCGAGCTCGGAAATGGTGGCCTTCCCAGTCTTCTCAGGACGACTGGAGGCCTGGGGTGTTGGCCCGGTGGTAGGGACCGGGAACGGTGGCGCCCATGCCACCACCACCATCGCGAGCAGCTGGTGAGAGCCCGCAAAATGGTGCGGTATCACTGTATTGTATCGGTATGTGTCCCGCCCAAGAATCTCCAATCGGGATCGCCTTTGCAACCGGTATCCTAAAGACGCACGATATTGATGCCAGGGCCTTGGAAGGCCGTGTCGGCACTCTGCGAGCGGGGCGCGGCCAACGAAAAAGGCCAAGGATGGATCTAACGGGAAGGATGCAAGATGCAAGGATGACGTTGGAAAGTCGCTCATGCATACTTTGCGGGTTGACTGCAGCGGTCGTTACCATTGGAAGGGGGCCCTGGTAACGGTATCGCTTGGGCGGGGTGGGACGCGTCGGGACGGGGGCGCACTGCGATCGCCAAAGTATGCGCGCGAGCACCAGCATGTGGGGGAAGGTCCGGGCCCACCCCCTACGCTTGATCGTTACCAATACCAAAGCGGGGTCTTGGCCCGGATAAGGACCGTTGCGCGCCGGAAGGTGAAAAGGAAGCAACAAAAAGATCATCTCCACGTGGGGGCAGGATCGTGGGCTAATCGCTGGAAGTGGCCTGGTGGTGGTGGTGTCGCCTCTCTCCTCCTCCGGTGGCAGGCTTCTCGCCCCGCTGCCGCGCCTCGTTCCAGGTGAAGCCTGGCTTCCGGATCGCTCCAGTGGCGTCGGGCGGAGACGGGGCTGCCATCCGCCTACCGCTCGCGGCGGTCCATGACCATCTGGAGCCGGGGCGGCTGCGGCAAAGGAGCGGGGGATGATGAGAAGTCACGACCGGCGAACGCATCCATATCCACACCCTGGAAATCTGGATTCCAGGGCGCGCTCCCGCGGAGACGCGGTCGCACAAATACGTCCCGCGTGGGGCATCCGCGAAAAAGCCCTCCGTATCAACGCAGTCGCGGCGCGTCTGCCCGGCACGCGATGCCGTGGATACGGATATGTTCTCCCCCCCACGAACAAGGGGGCTGAGGAACGGGAGGGCGAACGAGGATGAGAAGCAGGAGCAGGGAGAGGGAGCAGAAGGAGAAGACAGGAGAGGACGCGGAGAAGGGAGTAAAGACAAAACCAAGGTGGGAAAGGATATTAAAGATGAGGAGCGAGGGAATGATGACGAATCTAAAGATGATAGCGATGACCAGGAAGAGGATGCATATGAGGATGAGGACGAGGATGCTGATGGTGATGATGATGTTGATGTTGATGTTGATGATGCTTATGATGTCGGGGATGATGATGGTGATGGTCATGGCGATGCAAGTGATAATGAATATGATGGTGATGATGATGATGATGGTGGTGATGTTGCTGCTGCTGATGATGATGATGTCTGACCGTGATGATGTTGATTATGGTGGCAATGCTGATGACGATGACAATGGTGGTGATGTCGAGGCTGCTGATGGTGATAATGATTCCGGTGCGGATGATAATGGTTATGGTGATTAAGATCATGGTGAGGATGAGGATGGCGATCGTGATCACGGTGATGATGAGCCTCCACCATCTCTGAGCGTGAGGCACTGCCTGCAGGACGACACAGGCCACCCGAGAGCAGTCTTCTTGTGTTCCATCTCGGGCAGTGCAGTCAGATGTATACCTCAAGTTGTGTACACTCGATCCCAAATGAGGGGCGCTGCTCAAACATCGCACAACATTCTGAAGCGAAACTCTCCGCTCCAGTGGTACAAGGATATCACAAGAGCAAAAACATGCGGGGGAGGATCGCACGCTACGGAACGGGCTGAGGCAAAACGTGCGTGCAGTAGTAGCCTCAACCATCTCTTAGCGTGAGACACTGCCTGCTGGACGACACCGGCCACCCGAGAGCAGTCTTCTTGTCTTCCATCTCGGGCAGTGCAGCCAGATGTATATCTCAAGCGGTGTGCACCAGCGCCCCGATGACGGACGCTGCTCAAAAAACTCACAAATTCGGAAGCGAGGCTCCCCGCTCCCAACGTGCAAACAATTCTACCATGGAGGAGTCGGGGTGGTGGTGGGTCTTCTCCCTAGATGCACATAGTCTAGCACAGAAGACCAGGAAGAAACCTGAAGGACTTTTAAAAAACTTTCACAAAATCTGCGGCCAGGGCCCGGGCACAAATCTGTGGATATTATTCGGCCAGTCGGGTTCTAGAAGTTCCATACTTGTCTTTGCCCGTCAAAGACACGTGTGATGAACTATTTTTGAAACACTTCCCTTTGCAGAGTCTACACCTCTAGCTTGGGGATTCAACTGGCAAGTCGCAGCTCACCAAGCGCATAGGCTTCATCCACGAAATTCACCACTGGCAGAAGACAGTTCTCGTTGCGCGTGTTCTTCGCTTCTTTCTCGAATGAGTCATTGGGGGGGCATCCCACAAGAAAGATAAACACGGATTTCGATGCAGTACGGAGATATGTGCAGAGACGTGGCCAAAGCAATACTCACAGTGCTTTTCATCGTGATGCTGCCTAGTTCGATCTTCCATCTCTCACTCTGGTTCGGAAGTACGGGGAACCCGAGGATGTGTTCTTTGCTTCTCAAGGGTTGGGGCCCATTAGGTCGGGATCGAGCTCTGGACCAGGAAATGTACAGAGAACCGAAGTGAATGCCCAACGCAAAGCCTGACAGAATCCATCCTCTTATGCATTCACCAAAGAAAGCGTATTTATATCAAGCTTCACGCGGGTACGTGTGTCGATCGCAACGGCCAAACACCCCATCCGTGCAAGTGCTCTAGATACTCCAGCCGCGCATGAGAAGAAGGGGGGGATCAACGCGCGCGAAGATTGGCAGGAACTCGCAGCGGCGCGGCCACACTCGAAAGGATTCTCGGCCCAACCCGCAAACACCTCGGGGCGCACTCTCGCACCTGAGCAGAAAGCCGACGGAGGAACTCTTAGATGCGGCCCCCCTTTTGGCACCTTCTCACGCTTGTGGCTGCCGCCCAGCGGCCTCGGTGCTTGATTTCCGCGATCGACCGCCTGCCCACCAGGAAGTCGGCGCTCGGCCCCGAGTGCTGGAGCCTGTGCATCATGAGCTCGCCGATCGCGTCGTCGAGGCCGAGCTCCCGCGCGTTCTGCACTGCGCTCTCGCCCAGGGCCACCGACCCCGCGCCGGCCAGACACTCTGCGGGGGGGGCGAGGGCGTCGGCGTCGCAACAAAGCTGCAACCAGCGGCGGCCAATCGATCTGCACCGTCTCGTCGAACGCGCCGGTATTGGAACTCACTCCCTGTTCGAACGGGCGCAGCGCCAGCGTCGCCGTGGCCCCCGGTCCGCTTGCGCTGACCGGAGGGCGCGCCATGCTCCAGGTCGCGCGAGACAGCTCGCCGGGGCGCAAGTAGCAGCGATGAGCCGCCAGAATCGCCGCACCCTGCCGAAGCCCCCCTCGCGCGACCAGCTCGTTCGCCAGCGCGACGAAGACGCTCGCGGGCGCGGGGGGCCTCGACTCGCCCGGCGCCAGCCGCCGCAGCGCGGTAGGAAATGCCCTCGCCCAGGAAGGTTGGCGACCTGCTTGCCCGCGCTCGCGAAGGCCCGCGAAATGGCCGCCAGCAGCCAGCTACCCTCGCCCCTGGTCGCCCCCATCGAAAAACTCCTCGTTGAGGTGTTCGGCCACTGCTGCGCCCAGTGCTGCGGTGCTCATCCGATTGAGGAAGCGGACGAGCGCCGCCTGAAACTCGTCGAGCTCCGCGCCCGTCGCGATCGGGTCGATCGCCATCCCGGGCCGCCTCGCTAGACGAGCCAGCAGACGCCGGTGCAACTGCCTCGCGGGCGCCCGCGCCACGATGGTCTCCAGCGCTGCCCTCCCTGGAAGCGCTCGGACTCTTCCGCGGGCGCCCTGCCTCCGACGAGCCCGGCGCCGCCGCCTCTGGAGTAGAGCCTCCGCTGGGTAAGCCTCCAGTGGCGGCCCCTGCGGCGGCCGCTCTGGCGGACTCGCCGAGGGCGGAGCCACCCGGGCGAGGCCTCGCCCGACGGCGCCACTCCGCGAGATCACTCTCTCCTCGCGCGGAGCTCCAGTCACGCTGGCAGGGTCTGCCACGGGCCGACGCGCCAGCGCGCCGCAGTCCTCGTCTGGAGGGGGCGTCAGCCGCGTTCACTCGCTAGGCGCTCATCGCAGACGCAGCTGGATGTCCCATCGAAGGAGGACCGAAGCCAACTGGCGAGCGACGCGGCGCCACCCAGGTGGACTCGACCGCCCTCTTCGAGCCGGAAGCAGCGCGCCCGCGGAGTCCGTGAGAACGAGGACCCGCTCCTGGACGCACTCTTTGCACTTGGCGATTTTCCTCGCGGCTCCAACCGGCGCTCGGCCCTGAAGACAAGCGATGTGCTCGACTCGTTCCCAGGCTCGGCCGCTCTCTGCGCGCCGCTCGGCGCGCGGCAGACCCCCATGAGGGCCTGGGACAGGAGGGGCCCTGCAACTGACAACTTCAGGGGCCCCATCGTCTGGCCCCTCGTTTCTGCGACCCCCTGCGAGAAGCGCAGCCCGTGAATTGGCTCTGCCCCCTCCCGCGAAGCGCCGGCGATCAGAGCACCTACTAACTTCATCCAATCTAATGCCTCAGTAAGCGGCCATGAGGCGCGCGCCCCAAGACCCCATGAAGACGCGTCGCATGCAAAGGCCTTCGGGCCCCGGGGCTTGGCGAGGCCGCGCTTCGCGAGGAGGTCGACGCCTGGGCCCGCCGGAGCTCCCGAAGTACAGCAGGCCATAACTTGGAGGGCCGATCTGGGCACTCCTCGGCAAACGCGCACACGGCGCGAAAGCGCGATGGCATCTCGCGTCGAAACATAGCTCGATGAGCAATGCGCCCCAGGACTATCCGAAGTGCCCTTCCCGGACAGCGACGACGCCCCAGGGGGAACTCCACGGCCGGCCGCGCCCTTCAGCGCCTCTCACACAGAGGAGCGACGCGACCATCTCCAGACGCGCTGAGCCCGGGCCCCCCCCCCGCCGAAACAGACGACGTCGACCGCGTGAGCCTCGAAGCCAGCGCCCCGAGCCGCTGCCGACGACCCCTCCGCGATGTCCCGACCGACGTCCGGGGGGGCGAGGAAAATGCCGACGTTGTCAGCGCAGACCGACTCGAGATCGCAAAGCTGCGGCTCAAGATCTCCTCGTGGATGGTCTGGCACCAGCACAGAGCGCGGGCCCCGCCCATCGGCGTGACTGTCAAGCGGGGTCGGGCCACGCCGTTATCGGAGACGACGCCAAAGAGCAGCTTCTTCAACCACTTCTCCTTGATAGGGACCAAGCGGGAAAATATCCGCAAAGTGCGAGGTGATTCGAACTGAAAAAAAGCGTCTTCTAAATCATACTGCCCTACACGCAGCTGGCCTCTGAGCCGCAATCTCGACAGAGCTCCCGATTTCGGCAATTCCGCATGATCGCCGCTCGAGAAATAGCAATTTGACTGCCGACAGTTGGAAATCAGACGATGAGCGCCACTCTGATTGCGCGCGGTGAAGAGGCCTGCGCAGGCATCGCCCTCCCCCCGCACGAATGCTCTCTTGCCCCGAGCGCGCAACCTCTGCAAAACGAGAGCATGCTGCCGAGCAGACCCGCACAACTCTGGGTCGCGATAGATCTTGAAGTCGCTCGCTGCAAAACTCTGCTCGCCAAATGAGTTTGGCAGCGCGTGCTCTCGCGCGCGCCCCCGGTCTTGCTCGCGACCAATGGGGCCCAGAAGTTGACGCACGTCACGGGGGGCCGCCCCTGCCGGCCTCGGCGACAGCAAGGGCTCGCCCGGGGGAACTGCAAGCGACGACTCGCCGGAGTAGCCGCGCCCGCCGCTGACGCTCGAGAAAACCTCCGCCAGCTGAGCTCCAGAAGGGAGGAGGGGGGGGGGCATCCAACTGCGACGCTCCCGGAGTTGGGGCATCCAACTGCGACGCTCCCGGAGTTGACTCTCTCCAGCCCTGCGCCTAAAATCAGCGCGCCGGCAGGGGGGCTAGAGGCTCCACCAAGATGCATCTCAGCGAGGGCGGCTGCGACGTCGTGGCTGAGCCTCCTCGCCCACTGCTTCAGAGACACTGGGAGACCGCTCAGCCCAGGAGGCTGACTCCGCGCGCAGACTGGGACCGTTGGCCCCGATGCTCTCACCCGAGGTTCAGAAGCCCAGGGCCCAGCCGACGAAAGTAGCCGACTCGACGGACGCTCCGACTGAAACGTCTTGCTAGACGGGCCTCGCTGCGCTGCTGTCTGACAGAGGAGGCCATCTCCACTGGCCTCGCGCGTGCTCATGTCTTGTCGCCCCCACCGCGGCCTCCGCCTCCTTTGCCTGGGGGCTGGCGAAGAAGGGCTCGCTCTTCTCGTGCTTTCCTGGCCTGCTTCTGGATCTGCGATTCCTTCTCGAATTCTTTGCTCGCGTGCTCGACCAGGCTCGGCGCGCAGCACACTGTGGGGTTGACGTGCTGGCGCCCTTCGAAAAGGTCCATCTCATCGCGCATGATGACCGCGCTGCCTGTGACACCAGCGGCATCTCCAGCAGCGCCCCCATCGCTCTCCGTCTCGCACTCTCTCAGCATACTGGTACTCGACGGTCTGCGGCCGTCCGGCCGCCTTCTCAATCACCACAAGGTTCGACAGCTCGAGTTGATCCATGCTGCCCGCCGCCTCGACGTATGAAGACAACTGGCCATTCTCGGCCACTCCCCAGTCGGATGCGTTGAGCTTCGCCGTAGCGCGCCACCACCGATGATGATCTTCTGGGCCGCTGTTGCGGCAAGCCATGACTCGAGTCACCCAGGTTGCTGTACGTGGCCCCGTCCCCTGCCAGTGGTCCATCGCACTCTCGCTGATCGTCTCGGCGACGCTGGACCACGGCCGACAGCGTTCGCCTGCTGGATTGAACCTCGCCGTCATCACCCTGGCATAGATGGTCCCAGCACGCGTGCGCCTCCACTGCTCGACCGTCGCCTTTGGCACGCTCCCTACAATCAGAATGTCTCCTGTGGAGTGAACCGGCCCTCTCTTGTGGAGGACCACCTCTGGGCCCGCCAGGCACTCGTCTCCGATGGCGACGGTGGCGTTCGACTCCGTGAAGAGCCAAACCTCGGGCAACGCTACGGCCGCGGCGACAGCGCCGCCGCCGAGCGCCACAAGATCAGCCGCCTCCTCCATCAGCCCTCTGAAGGTTGCCTGGTCGGGCGCCCGACCAACACCGAAGTTGTAGATGTTCGCACCTCTCAGACTCATCGGGATGATGCCGTCAGGCCGACATGCACGGACACCCGTCACGTCTCCATTCAGCGGTCCGTCGTCCTTTTCGCACATGTCCGCATCCGGAGTGTAGATGACCCACCGTGCGTCAGCCACGTGAGCGAGCAT